ACCCCTAGCTATCAATAATTAAGACATCTTCCAAAGCACTAGACACTCCAGTAGGGGAAACCTGAAAAGGAAATTTGCTGTTTGGCTGCTAGTCGATTAAGGGATTTTTGCCATGGCTCTCCATGCAGATCTCTGAACTGCTCCATCTCAGCATCTTTGAACTGCACAAGTCCCTGACATGGTTCAGCCTGGGCAGGCTGGGCCAGGAACATGGCTCAGGGCTGCTCTCGGCATCTACGGTGGGTCTGAGGGGCTGTGTGTGCCTCAACAAAACCCTTGCCTTGAAGAGTTCACAGGCCTGGAACGGGAGATGTACAGTCAGCATAGTGTGGGGGTTACAGACCCTGGAGGGCCTTACAAACATACAGCAGCCACAAGATGTGCATGTTCACACCTAGAATTGGTGCCTCCTGCAACCGCAGGGCCAGGCTCCCAGTCTGTGACGCGTTGATGTGGGTGCAATGGCATGTTCCCTGGGCAAAGCCATGCTGTTCCAGTTCTCCAAAGAGCTGGTGGTCCTGCTGCAGCTGCTGCCACCACTGGGTACAGCTGGGGAGAAGCAGAGCTGAGCTTTCCCCCCTAGATGTGGCACAGTGCCCTGGGGGGATGCGTTACTGCTCTGGGCAGAGGGGAAGCCAGCTGGCGAATGCTCTGCATGGGTTCCCTTGCAGCATGGAAATCAGTGACTGCCAGTATGAGGTTTAACTGCCTGAGGTTTAACTGAGGCTGCTCCTGCCTCAGAAGAGAGAGGAAACATTTGCAGCCCCTGCCTTTCCTCCAGGCTTGCCAACAGAGGCGGATGGCAGGTCAAGCACTGGAGCAACAGGACTTATATGGGACTTGTCTTATAACTGATAACAAGGCTAACAGCAGCTTTCACTTATGCAAAGGGATTCCCCCTTCCCCCTCTCCCTGGCACCATCAAGACCTCTGCTGTCCCTCTATAGCTGGAGGAATGCCAGATGGGACCTGAATAGGATGTCAGGATGTCCCAACAGACTCAGCATCTGCTCACTGGAAGCCCTCCTGTCCCCAGCAGGATTGCTAGAGCCACCTTCCAAGTTAGCAATTCAAGCTACATGAAGCTCAGATGTGCTCATGGGTCCATCTCGCTGATGAATGCAAGATGACTTCTTCTAGCTTCTATTCTCCAAGGTATTGCAATCCCTTATTATATTCCACCAGCCTTCAAATGCCCTGGCCCCATATCTCTGGGGAATATCTGGGCTATTCTGAGGCTCCCTTTTAATATGATGCCTCCTGTCCACATTGGACCCGGCTCTGCCATCGTCTGCTGCCCAAGGGGGCTCAGTGTCTCATGATCCAGCAAGCAGGGCACCAGTTGCCACTGGCTGACTTTCTGCCTTCCCTACAATCACTGCTGCGGTTGCAGTTTGACAGGTCACAGCTTGAGCTTCCTCCAAAGTGTGCAGTCATTGCACGAGAACTTCCTTTGCATGCTGCCACTCCTTCATGTTTGTTCAGGCTTCTGAGTTCCTGGTTCCTCTGGGAATTGCCCGGTTGCCCATCTTTGCCACTAGATACCAGAAAATACTGTTGCAAAACACAAAAGCCTCCAAGCACAGGATGTGAATCTGTGAAGCACAGCACATTGCAGCATGGAAACAGCCACATCACCCCTACACCGTAGGGTGCAGGGACCTCCAGGTTGTCTTGGTCTCCCTGCTGACATACACCAGCTTTTTTTTTTTTTGATAAAGCATCAACACTGTCCCACACGGGCAAATGCTGAACGCATTTTAAGGCTGCCACACACGTAGCTAATAGCAAACTACTCAGCTGCATCATGCACAGGCCATGAGCCCAGGCAGGCCCCCACAACCAAAGGGCTGGCTCATTCTGCAGTGCCAAGAGCTCTGCCACACCAGCAATAACGAGGGTGATGGCAGGCATGTAGTGACCCACAATAACCCTGATGCAACAAGGTGAGCCTCCTGTATGTAATTAGTGTCTGGCCTTTGAAAGGGAGCAGGCAAAAAGCACCAGAACCATTCCTAAACCAGGGAATACAAGACTGTGATCCAGCAAGGAGAAAAAGCAATGAGATAAAAGCACCCGCCTTATTTTTGTGCCTCTCTACCAGTTCTGCCCCCACTGCAAACAGACCAACACAGCCAATTGCCATTCCTGGGTTTTCTTCTTTCGTCCTTCTTGGAAAAAACTCCACTTACAAAACACAGACAGAACCCATACACACCTCTCTTGGCTTCCCTTAAACACATAACATTGATTTTCTCAACATCCACCCAGAATACTGCCATAATTAGCAATCTCCATTGGCTTTGAAGAAGAGGGAAGGAGGTCACAGACCTCGAATACGGTTTAATACAGACTGTTTAATAAAACACCACAAGCGACCAGCATATATGGAGTGTTTCGTAACTGTTTGCCCTGACTCGCTAGCTGGCCAGTAATATTTGGGAACATTACTGGAATGTGCTTACTTAAAGATTTCTTGCATAAATGTCATCCTTTTTCTACACAAGGCAGAGGCACTGAGCATGGTTCACAGGCTGCTCTCTGCTCCCTACACTCTTCTTTCTTTCATCCCTATACCACCTCCAGGTAGCCGGTCATTGCGTCACCAGTATAAAGACAGCCCTTGCACAGCTCCCTATAGCGGCACCTAAAGAAATGATGTCATTTTGCAATTGCAAAAATCCACCCTTTAACCACATCTCAACTGCCACATGCAGCTCCAGACCTCACTTTAAAGTTACGTCCTAGAACCAGAAGAAGTTCAGAGAAGGGCAAAGAGGGAATCAAGGCTCTGAGATGGCTCCTGCCTGTGCAACAGCTGATATATGGTCTGCAGAACAGCTCTGGACATGCTCAGCCCTCTGGGATGCATTGGGTCCCTCTGCAGGTGGGAACACGCATTTTGGGAAACCTCAGGGAAAGGTTTTGAAGCCCAGCTCCCATGGGCATCAGAAAATGCTGGGCAATGCTGGCATAGCAGTCATCTCTCAGCTGGAAACAGGTCTGGTTCAGGACTCCCTTCAAGCATAGGAGGGTTCAAAGCTGCTTCTTCCAAATAATAGGGATTTTTAAGATTCCTGCCCATGAAGGTATGGTGCACTCTAGGCTGCCCAGATTCGAACTTGCTGGTGGAGGTGTCATACTTTGTAGCAAAACCCCCAGCTAAGAGGGTTCCCCAAAAATAAATTATATATAGCTCTAGTCACAATCCTAAATTAAAGGTAACAGGAAATAATTAAACATCCTCCTCTCATGGAAAGAATTAAGGACTTTAAATGTGAGATTGCAGAAAGCAGTAAGCTGCCTAAACCATTGCCACAGGAGAAACAAGTTTGCACTTGTTGATAGCTGAGGTGTCAAGTGCTTAAATACATGGAAGGGTCTGCACAACCATGAACAGCAACCAGGATTACACAAATCCCAAAAGTTCTTTCCTGCAAATCATCGAGGAAAGAGCTACGCACCTTCCCTCTGGCTCAAATCCTCCTTTCCAACCACTAAGATCTGAGAAGCCCAGAGATTTTGCTCTCCCCAATACTTACGCCATTGCTGCACCAGCATGGATTTCTCTAGGGCTCCTCATTTTTGTGGCAGGAGTGGCTGTAGAGTACTTATACAGTTAGGCTAACTTATTTTCCTGCTCCAAGTGGATTTGTACTTGCTCAAACTATTCCTTCCTAAGCCTGACTTCTGTCATATCTTTTCTCCAGATCGCACTTTTTACTTTGCCCTTAGTATGCACATCTGCCCTGAATGCATGTCTTTGTTTCACAGTCTTTACTTTTAGTTTTTAAATCCTTCTATAGCTTTCATCAGTTTAATCACTGACAGCCTGGTTGCGTTTTGGTATAGGTGAAACTATGTCCTGCTCAGCCATTCTCTATCTAGCTTCATGTCAGCTAGGAGTTAACCCTAAATCTCTCTTCTCCTGTATTAGAAGTAGTTTTTGTTCTGCTTCCCAGCAGCTGCAGTTGCCTCCTGGCCCGAAACAAGCTAGATTTTTTGAGGATTCTGCCTCAGGTGCCTTGCACAGATGGACTCAAACCCCAACACCTCTACAAGTCAATACGTGCAGTTTTCCAGAGTGGGTAACCTTGCATCTACTTGCACAGATGGACTGAAACCCCAAGACCTCTACAAGTCAATACGTGCAGTTCTCCAGAGTGGGTAACCTTGCATCTAAAACTGCCCTGGGCCACAGGACTGGAAGGTGACAAACACGACTGATCTTTTCAAGAAGCAGCAGGCTAGGACGCACAGAAGTCTGACAGGAAGTCTGACATCTAGACATGCCATGGAGTAGAGACTGAGAAGCAGATGTCTGCCACAAGGACAGTGAAGCTCCAGGTTCTCAGAGAATCACAGAATCACAGAATCACAGAATCGTATAGGTTGGAAGGGACCTCTGGAGATCATCTAGTCCAACCTCCCTGCTCAAGCAGGGACCTCTAGAGCATATTGCCCAGGATCGCGTCCAGGCGGGTTTTGAATATCTCCAGCGAAGGAGACTCCACTACCTCTCTGGGCAACCTGTGCCAATGCTCTGTCACCCTCACAGTCAAGAAGTTTTTTCTCAGGTTCAGATGGAACTTCCTGTGGTTCAGTTTCTGCCCG